TTGAGACAAAATAAAAAAAATAATCTCAAATTAAATTAGTACCAGTATATATACATGTATGGACGACAAAAAAAATAAAAAATACATGTATGGGAAAAAGAAGAAGAAGATAAACCAGTCGTGTATGTTTCCAATTTTTGATTCCGAACATGAACACAATTCTACTCGTAAACGATTACACTTCCAAATTCGAAAGGTTTTTTGTTTTCTTATCATTATTTCTTCATAATTTGTTCCGAGAAGGAGCAATTCAATCGAATCAGCTCTGTAAAATACTCCGAATGGAGAATGCCCACAAGTTGTTCGACACAATTCCTCAATGCCCAAAATGGAGGTCTCTGTTTCTTTCTTTTGTCACGTGCCTTTTACGTGACAAAGCCAGACTCTTTTCTTCAATAGCGTTGCTTTTTCTCGTTTATTTTCCCGCCTCTTACTCTTTTCTTCTCTCTCCCAAAGAAAAACAAACAAACTCTCGAAACCGCAAGATTCTTGAGAGAATCTCCGTTACTGCACATTCATGGAGTTTGTTTCGCTGAAAGATGTTAAAGGCAAACAAATCTTCAAGCGAGCCAAAGATTTCTACTTTCAAGATGAATACATCAAAGCTTTAGAAGTAATCAGAGATTTGTCTTTCATCAACGATGATCGTGACAAGGGTATGGTCAATTTCTTGCAAGGTACTATCTTCAAGGACTTATCTAGAAAAACAGACAACACTGATGTGAAATACACGTACTTGTTGGGTTCTGTTGAAATCTTTTCTATGCATCGTAGTTTATCATTGCTTGCTGCGATTTCACTCTTCGATTTGGCCGAACATCTTGAATCAGTACTATATTACAAGAAAGCCTTGGTCGTAGCGAAACAGAGCTTGAGCTTGAGCTTGAAGGCTATTCAAGACTTAGAGCTTGTGAAGCATATAATCAAAACTTCAGAGTGGAAGATTGCTGAATCCAAGTCTGGTGTTGCTTCTACTATGAAAATGAGCGAACAGAGAGTTAGGGAGTCGAAGGATAATGAAGAGACGAGGAAGATTGACTTTGATTTAGTTAAAAGATTGAAGTCGTATTGGGATGGTTTGAATGTTGAGGTTAGAAGGAACTTTATGAAAGTAGACGCTGCGGAATTTAGAAGTTTTGTTGAAAGCATGTATGGCAGAGATGGACGAAGTGCTTTGGAGCAAGTTCTCACCACTGCTAAGGAAGACAGAAAATGGAAGTTTTGGATGTGTCGAACTTGTCCGTTGAAGTTCTCTAGTGCTGATGAATGTAAGGATCATTTTGAACAAGAACATGGTGCAAAATTTAAACTTGATTCGACAAACGATGAGGTCCAGATGATAAGTAAAGTCATGGCTCGTAAGATCTCTGTTGGAAGTTGGGAACCAGTGGATGCAMTAGCTGCCGTTGAAATGATTAAGAATCAGCTCGAAGATGTGAAAGCGTTTGCATATGAGAATGGATGGTCCAAAGACTGGCCTTTAGCTACYGATGAAGAGCGCAGTAAGTTACTCCATCAAATCCAACAGCTCCTTGTGTCGTTTTATGACCTTAAAATTCTCTCCTGTAGCATTCATGACTGGTTAATGGATGTTGTGGTTAAGCATCTCGAAACACTTCAACTTTCCAAGCATATTCTTACCGAGTGTCTCCTACTGGAAACACCTCAGAGTATATGTTTTCTGGAATGTGTTGAACTAAAGCAAATCCTGGACTTTCTAAAAAGCATCAAGTGTGAAAGGAATGATGGTACASATCTGGTTTGCAGAGCWGTYGACAGTTTCTGCGGTGGTACTCGAGTTAAAGAAAAGATCGACTTTGACCCTCGATTTTCATTTCTACTTCTTGATATGAGACTGTTGCAAGGCAAGATTGCTCAATTCGATGATGAAGGGACGATCAATGTTTTTAATCCCAATGCTCACTACTCCAAGGCACATGCTCATGGAGATGATATCTTATCCTGGTTAACCGACAACTCTTCAAGAGATGAGACTTTTCGATTTCCTAGACCTATCAGGGTCCACAATCTTAATATTTGGGTGGCTGTTCTGAGAGCCAATCAGTTCACGTGTAGGACTTTGGGAGCCAAATATCAAAAGAAACTCAAGCTCCTATGTTTCGATGCAGCTCTTGATGGCGTCAAGAACTTATGTATGCTCGAAGATGAAAGGAGAAGGAATACTTTGGAAGATCAATGGACCTCATATGCTACTCTTATATGTGATAAATACGAAAAGCTTTTACCGAGGAGTTCTCTCGCGACAAGAATAGACTTGTCTGTAGTTCGACAGGTTCTGGAAGCAGTATTGGATCCGACATTTGATATCCCGGATTCAGAAGATTCCCTGAATGTTATACGTGAGCATAAAAATGTCACTGATTATTCAGTGTTGACTTCCATAGATCACCTGAAATTAATTGTCACCTACAAGATCTCCTACAAGGTTCATTTCTTATCTGAATTGTAATTAACAATACGATATCATAAAATTGTTTCTATTGATTTGCAGGTTCCTCGAATTGATTCAGAGATTTTGCTGATTGAAAAGGCAAGGATTAATTTGCTGTACTGCCTCACCAGACTTTCTGTTTTTGACTATCGCTCTTACATCCTTGGACCGCTGAAAGAATTCTTGCTGGTTGGTTTTAAACAGAAAGCTTATTACATTCCCTCTGATTTGGT